CACGTACGCGAGGGAGAGGTGTCATGTGACAATTAAAGCATGTGGCATGTGGCAATGAAAATCACGTGGCATTGGGAGAGCAGAGGAAGTATTTATATATTCCCATACATATTTCAAACATGAGAGAGAATGTTATGGTGTTGGAGTAGAGAAAAGTGAGACATATGCAGAGGAGAGGAACGGCTGAAGCCGAGATGCGAACAGGGCGAGCGCGAGCCAGCAGCGTGGACGGCCGAGAGGGGGCAGCAAACAGGGAGACGGAGCTGCTCTTTAACGAGCTCTTGACGACGGATGACTAACGTCCTTGATGGCGAGCAGTGATTTCTTCAGGTCTGTCTGCGGGAACTTACCTGTCTCTTTCTCTTTGTCTGCCTTTGTTTTTTTTCTTCTCTTGGCGGTGGTGGTTTCTCTTTTCTTGTGCTGTTCCTTTACTTGTGTTTCTCTTCATTGCATTTTCCTTACTGGCCGCGCCTCTCCAGTTTGTGCACCAACGCTGCGGCGGTCGGAATTCGCGAATGCTCTTTGTGACTTTAACATTTGGAAGGGGAACGAAAGTAAAAAAACACATATTTAGCGTTTTGAGAGGTAGAAAAAAATTACGTTATCAGTTTCATTTCTCAAATCTTGACAACCGCGTGGGAGAAGTGGCGTTAGGAGCGCCGGCATCGGGGGGTGGGGGGGTGACGGGTGGTGACTTTTGAATGTCGCCCTATGGGGTTATTGAGATTTGGTTTGGGGCGCCGCTGACACAAAACCAGCCTTGCCTTGGCGCGCTCTCTCGCTTGAGCTGCTGCTGCTGCCGCTGCCCTGAGCGTGGCGGCGTAAACGGATACGAACATTCCTCAAAACGAAGCCATCAAGCGACAGACTCGATGACATTGTACGGAACGTTTGCACAAAGCAGGCAGGTGCCGCCTTAGTTGCGTTCAAAACTTCGGTCTACGTTAACGATGCTTTGGTTGGCAATTTTTCGTCTAATATTTCGGTGATATAAATATTAATATACACGTATAAAATAACCGGGCGGTGAAGTGTTAACAGTAATGTCACTTATCAAAACTTGAAATAATTCTACGCGTGCCGTTAGCCGTTCCGCTTGAAAAGCGATTCGCATTTTAATCGAGTGAATGTTTTTTGGCAAAACGCGCTCGCAGAGTTGGCGGAGAGAGGCGCAGTCGAGTGGCCCCACATGGACCGCTCGCTCCGTCTTTTTTTTGAGCTGGGTGGATGGCTTCCGCCGACCAGAACCAGCGTCCGAGCATCTTGACGTATTCGACTCGGAAAGCGCGTCGTTTTATTCGGAGACGGGCGACCGCCAAATCGAGAATTGAGGGAACCGTTTTGTTCAGGAAGCCGTCCCGTAAGGAATTAGGTGACTTCTTGAATAGTATTAGGAAGACGGTTGAGTAGGGCATCATCTCCGAGCGGTTTAAGGTCAGTCGGCCTTGCAGCCACGTCGTACAACTTTCCCAAGTGCGGTCTGCCGGGTTAGGCTTCTTCTCTCGCATTTCTTCTCTCCAGCTTTCGCCATGCACGACTGCGGGAAGCTTCAGCAGCTGAAGCTTCAGCAGCCGAAGCTTCCAGCAGAGAGAAGAAAAGCGAGAGAAGAAATGCTCATCGCGCTGCCAAACCTAGAAAGGCCATTTAACAGAAATAAAGCGACACTGCTGCCCTGCAGTAGCGCGCGGCAAAAGCTTGCGAGCGGAAATGTTCAACACGAGGTTTAACCCAGAAGATTGCACTAGGATTACGAGTGGCTGCGAAAGCCTCCGTGGTAGACTGGTGCAACTTTGTTCTTTGCCAGAGTTGATGTGGACATTCCATGCCCGACACTGCCAAATGTCATCCTCGGATTGTTTTAGAAACGTGACGATTCTTAACACACAAGATGTTGGCTTTCAGTTTTACAGCATTTGAAAAGCGGTAGATGTTCATAAGTAGGAATTTTACTCTTTTTAAAAACACAAGTAGTTCTTCCGTTACTGTGCAAGCCTTTGGACATTCATACTCGATGTTTGTAATGAGTCATACAGCAACGTTCACAACCGTAAAATTAATTCCTGAAGTTATTGAGGCTGGCGTGTGTACCTTTTTGTAAATAGACTGCTGGCTGCGGGCCTCTGTACGCAGTGCGGGTCGTGGGGGTTACTTCACCACGCTAGCCAGTGGTGGCGGGTTAATGAAGGCGCAGAGGGTGCGTGGATGTGGGATCACATAAGCTAGAGTACAAAGCAGTGTGTGGATCGTTGTTATCTAGTAAAGATACCAGTAGCGCCAATGATGATACAGTCATAGCAGCAGCAACGATGACGATGATGGGAAGTAGCGATGATGGTGATGATGCTAAAGAGAGAGCGCCGCCATAAAACGGGTTGAACCGGAGCTCTGGGCCGACCGGCGGTGGGGGCCGTGGCTTGGCCGACACCGCAGGTGTGGCCGGCGCCGCGTGCGTGTCTGCCTGGGCTCGGAGCTCGTCGGCTGGCTGGTGGCGGCGGGCCTGAGCGAGGATCGCGACGGAGCGACGCGCTACGCCGAGCGCCTGCTGTGCGGCGGCGTCATCGCGCGCCTCGCCGAGGCCGGCGGACGACGAGGAGACGGCGGCGGCGGCGGCGGTGGAGGAGCCAAGGACGACTTCAGCGCCGCGGCGGCGCTCGATTTCCTCGACGCTCCCCTTTACTACCGCGTCGCGCCGCCACCGGTCGAAGACTGGTGATGGGACGGTCGTCGCCGGTGAACAGTGGTTGGCAGTGCTCGTCGCCTGGGAACGACGATCATCTGCCAATGGGAAGCGACTGGGCCGGTGACTGAAGATCATTGCTTGTGTACAATGCTCACCTGTCATTGTTGAATGATGTACACTGCTTGGGGAACAACGCTCGTCCATTGCTGGCGACCGACGCCTGTCGTTGTCGAACCACGCTCGCGGTTGGTGAACGTCGCTCATTGTCCTGCTGAACAAGGCTCATCGCTGGTTACCGATGATCGACTTCACGCTGGTGAACAACTCGTGGCTCGTGAGCGACGCCGTTGATCGGGGGGAGCAACGCGCATCATAGATCAATGATTCGTATCTCTCACCGACGAGCGATGCAGGGAAATCCATCGTACTCCAGTAAAACAAAACTTTGCCTCCAAAACGAACAAGCGAGGATTATGAACAGAGAGCAGGCAAGCCCGACGTGCGATGCCATTACCAAATGCACGAGCGCAACGATTCCTTGGCATCTTTTGCACACCCCGCGTGCACTCAACTTGTACAAATGCATGCACGCATTCATTTAAATGTTGCATCCTTGGCTGTGCAAGTGCAGTGTTCGTTATGAACCTCGTCACTTTGTAATCGCCGATGTCCCGCGTTACTTTCCGCAGCATGTGCAAGGGCGGCTCGATTTTCTTCCGCGAAACTCCCAGTATTTAAATTAACAGCTCCTATTAAAACGATACCCTTTTTGTGTTTTAAGAACTAGAAAAACACACAACTTCTCGTCGCAGTAAAAGTAAAGTCGTGAAAATGAACGTAGAGTATGTTTACCACCTTAACACTCGAATGCAAATTTGTGTTCCGTTATACTACCAGTACCACAGTTCCGTGTGCGCGCGCGAGAGGATTTGTATGCTCATGACAGTATTTATGCGGCAATTACAGTATTTTTTTAATTGTCCAACGGAATGCAAATGCTGATACCCCTGCCACCTTTCTGATTAGCTGCACTGGGGTGGGGGTCGGGAGTTTTACTTTGTCTGGGTACTGGAAAACTTGGGCTGGAATGCACTTTTATTGCACCCAGAGTGGATTGCGGATTCTAGGAGGAGTCTTTAGCTATTCTTTCTCAGGACTTTAAAACGGTGGCGTCAGGCGGAGCAGTGGGAATGGATAATCGGGACTTTGATCGCGTAAGACCAGTTAACAAGCCCGGGCCAGCTCCATACAAGAAGCGAGCCTTGACAATGCAAACAATACATAGGTATCGAGTTCCATAGGCAACGGTGGATTGCTTGGGGTGTACTAATGCACCGATGAAATTTATTTAAAATCGATCCTTATTCTCGTAACACGTACATCAAGTTGTGTGAGAACAGAGTAAATTTAACGGGTGTGTTTCATATTTACGAGTACATTCAAGTCTCCGTCAATGTGCCACGTTTAAATAATTGACTCGCGATCCCAAATCAGAACGGGAATCTCAAACAGGGCCTGGCACGTCCGAAACTTTGCAGACCCAGCTTGTGCCGGATGATAAATGGAACAATTGGCGCCATTTAAAAAGAAAATTCAAAAACATTTATTCCCAATGGCTGCTTGTATTCAGCAGTTTCGTAAAGGTCACTGGTTCACGCAAAGGTAATAGTTAACAAGGAAGGTTCACTCAAGAATTAATAGTTGGAACTGCTTGTGATGAAATAGAATACATGTGCTTACTGTACAATATGTAAATGGTGAGGCAAAGCTAAAATGAACGCGTTTTTGCATGGAAATAAAATACTTGGGTTTCCAATTCAGATTGCGAGGCATTGCTAATTAATCAAAGTGGAATTGTTCATTGATGGGCTTCAGCGGCGCGCATCTGTGAAATGTGCTTCTCTTGGTGAGCTGTAGGATTTTAACAGCCACAGATTTTCATCTCCAGTCCTGAAGGCTCGACATCATCCCATGTTCACCAATCTTCTTATTCGGCGAAATACCACGTACATACCGATTTTAGTACAGGAACGTTTGTATGTGTGTGCTGCAAAATGATGTAGAACGTTGCACCATGATGGGTGGCATCTATTGCAACCGCTGGAGAGAATTCAAATTACGAAATGTTTCTTTAAAAACACAAAGGGAAAGCCACCAATTAGGCGAACAGTTTTTATCTCCTGTTCTGAACTTTAAAATAGCGTTTACACCATACCCAAGTATGATATTGCACTCCAGACATTTAAACGTTCACCAAGCTGTGTAATCACGGAGTCTCGAGTTTGTACGTCGCGCTAAAAAATAAACGTGCAAGGAAGTGTCGACGCGATCTTCGATTGCGGCTTTATTCAAGGTGCTTGAGCTGCACAAGGGAAGAGCAGCAACTCGCAGACACTCCCAGAAGCTCGCGAGGAGGGGCACACAAACTCAACTTGTGCAAAGAAACGTAGAGCACGCGGCACAACGCGTTGTAAAACCACGCAGCGATCGGCTTCACCTGCCATAAGAGTGCTTTTTATTGACCTGTGTGTCCGACTCAGACTAAATGGCAACCATTAATATGCTTGAGCCCTAAAGCCATGAGGAACAAGGGTAATTTTACAGCAAACGTTTGGTTGGCAAATGTCACCAGCAACGCATTTACTGTGAGCGGACGTTGGCAAAATTGGCAAGGTGCTGGCATGGTGACGATGGATGAGCAATGATTGATCTGCACAGCACACAACCTCGGGCAATCATGTGACCTGTGTCCGTGATCGGAATGGACATTGCCATTCCAGTTCACCACGAACAGAAGCGGTGAAGAAAACTGTTGATATTTTGGAAACAAAATTATTGCGAACAATCTTTGCCAGTAACAATCTCGGACGATGATAGCTCAACTTAATTTAGTGCGTCATGCTCTTTGGGACTACTCAAGGAGATGAGAAGAAATGTATGTAAATCTATTATGCAGCCTCAACCTCAACTATTCAACTGGTTGAATCAGTCTAGTACACCATCCATAATCCGGTAAAACGTATTCAATTCGACTAACAGTCCAAACCATTGCACTGTCTGAAACTGTCAACTCTTTCAGTATTCCATATGTAACCCTTCTAACAGTTTTTAAGCATGAGCGCAGATCAACTAACAGTCCTAAACGCGAGGCATGCAACCAACCACCACATCCCCCAACCCCGGCGATTTGAAATTTCGAATATTCATGGTTGCGAGTATCGGGATTTTTTAAAAGAATTTTGTCCGTAACGATTCTCTAATTTGTCTCGGCACGATATTGTTCATCACATTCGCATATAATTTATACAAGTTGGAAATAATCATTTGCATGCAAGATTCGATGCTCACATCGTGATCGTAAGAATCAATTTCAATCAAATCGATACGTTGTTGCATGCCCTACTGAAGACACAACGGCATTTCTTCAAATGAAAGTAAAATTCCACGATGCCGACACGCTCGTGTTGCACACCGCGCACGCCTCCTGGTGGCGCGGCGCGCGTGTACGTGCGCGTCGTTCACTTGTAGAACTTCATTTCCGTGTCGACGCAGTCGTAAAAGAGGTCGACCATCTCGGACGCCACAAACGCACGACGTCCAGACGCCACCTCCTCCATGGCGGCGATGCCCTGGCGCTCCAGCCCCATCATCGTCTCCAGCAGTCGCACGCCGCGCTCCTACGCCGCCGTTTACACGATGGGCACACGCAATGAGTGCACTCGACAAGGATGCACACGTGGTGCGTGCACACGTGGTGCGTGCACAACGCGGGTATGCGTGCCGTGTACATGGCACGGGCGCACCCTGCCAGAACAAAACCAACTTCGTCTTTAGCAACAATTTCTGCACACGCATTTTACTTGCGTGATACGACCCAAAAAAATCTAGCGTGAATCTTTATATTGGTCGCGAAAGCCTTCGTGTTAAATGTACACCCTCACTTTACCTGCTAACTCGGGTCGGCAACCAAAATAAGTGCCACTTTTTTCGAATTCGGTTAACTAAACAGTTCAAGAGCCACAATGCACTGTGGTGAATACGAGGCAGTGGTCCTTAATAAAGAACGTCACGAAGTCGCAGTCCTTAAAGGGCCGCATGCGGCTCCGGACACGCAGGTTGCTGACATTTGTGCTAACTGAACAAACAAGACAGGAGAAGAAACCAGATGGATAATATCAAAAAATAATCCGAATCGAATTGTGACAATTTGCGGGAGGGGTGAACGGTTAGAGCCCTTCAAAGCGCGCACGTGCCGCTCACCGTGCCGCTGTCGCCGGCTTGTTCCCACGCCTGCTGGTGCGCGCGGTACAGCTCGTGCCGCCGGTCCGGTTTGCTGCGGAAGCGCGGCACCACCCTCGCCGGGTCGTCGGCGCCCAGGTCCGGCGAAACCACCTTGCCGACGGGCTTCACCCCCTCGACGAACACAAACGGCTTAAAGATCGACCTGCGGGGGACGTAGGCCGGAGGCATCGAATACCCTCGAGTGGAATTCCCCCCAGGCCGAGTGAGATCGGACACGAAGGGAACTTTTAACGTAATCCAGGGTTCTGCGGTATCTTTCCCCAGGTTTATCTCGATTGCGCTTTCGCCCTCATGTTATGAGATGAATGATACAACTGGACCTCTTGCAGAGCGGTGCAACTGCAGATGGGCTATCCGATTTATTTATGTAATTAATTTCCGGTGATCTGTTCAACTTCTGATAATCGAATATCACGAAAATATTTGGGGGAAAAAGCCTTTCCTCTGTTCCCACGTACGTGGCTGGACGGGAGGTTATGGGTGGGGCTTGTAGGGGGTTTCCCATTTTTAGGCAGGATTTGGGGCGGTCGCTATTTTTAAAGGTGCCCAAGTAATTGTTCTCCAAGATTTAAAGATTGGGCTTCTGAAGTGAATGTCACAGAACTACCGCCTATGACCACAAATATTTTCTTCATTTTTTTCCCCCTCTCGATGGGTACTCTGGTGTGGTGGCACACTCCTGTGACCCAGCTCTTCAAAAGGCAAAGGTTGGTGGCTCGCACAGCTATTTGTCAAACCGCTGGGCTGCAAGGCGGCCGTGAGGTGGCAGTGCAGCAAGTGGGTTGAAGGACGCTTCTGTATGGACCGTTGTGTGTTACTCCCTTGTACACGTGTGTGTGTGTGTGTGGCGTAGCAGTTAGCGCGCTGCGATACGAACCCGGCCACCCGAGTTAGTTTCCCGCTCACGGACAACACCAGTGACGATTATCTTAACCGGTTCTGGGCATCTTCCAGATTGACTCAGCCTCAAATGAGTACCTGGTGCAGTGTGCAAATATCGCCACTGGGAGCAAAGGCGTGGTGCTGGTTACCCACCACCTCGTGTGCGGTTCGCCGGCCTTCGTACGTGCTCGCTAACAGCACTTTCCCCAAAAGTCTGTTCAGGCTATAAGGGGGATCTTTGTCTTTGTGTTCTCCAGCAACCTGGAACTCCCCTCCCACACGAAGGGTAACACTTCTTAAAATGGAATCTCAAGTGACATTACCGTGCTTTGAGTCGAGTTAGCAGAGCTTGGCTGGTTCATAGGAGCGCATCGCATATTAAAAAGCGATTGAAAGAAGAATACGCGGTAAGATTTGCACAAAACAGCACTAAACTATTACATCCATATTAAATACGAATGATGGTGCATCTTAATCTAATCATCGTGGCAGCCACTTCACCTGAGGATGACACCTCTACCATGTGTTTACACTTTCCAACGCAGGATAAAAGTCCACCTGGAGCGGTGGGAGGGGCGGTGTGGGAAATAACTCTCGTGTAGATGATGCAACAAACTTTCAAATAAAGTTGGGCGACTATTGGGGACTTGCCCTTTAAAAAATTGGCATAATTGATCAAATGGTTGCCTCCTAGCACTTGGCGACGCAAGCCTCTGTTAAAAGATCTTGGGGTCCCAGCAGAGGTCGCAACCGGGTACCCGATACCCGTACCCTACCCGATACCCGGCTACCCGTACCCGGCCAGGTACGGGTACCCGTTTGCGACCCTGGTGCGGCCGGGAACGGGTAAGGAATCAAAACTCGTTTGCGACCTCTGGGTCCCAGCCCTGCTGACCGAGGCGTGAGCCCAGTGGTCTCATCGCGGCCTACAAACAATGCTTCCTGCGCACACAGAGATGATGATCGCTGATTAAAAGACGTTGGGGGGGGTTGAAAAACTAATGCTGGAAAACTGCACACATTCAATGCGTACGCACGATTATTATTTTTATATGTATCCGTCTGAATTTCTTTGTGTGGCAGAACGGACCTGGAAGGGTCGGGAGTGGCGGTCAGGAAGTGGATGCAGGGCAGGGCGGGGTTCTGCGGGAGGATGGACACCATGCTGCCCGTTGTGAGGAAGGCGCCCTGCGCACAGATCCCACTCTCCTTGTCACGCAGGATCGACATCATGTCCTGTGCCGACAGGGACCCTTGTGATTGATGGAGGTGGGGAAAGTAGGGGGGGGGGGGGTTAGAGGGGAAGAGGTTGAGCAGCGGACAAGACATCGCACCCCGGGAGGCAATGTTGCAAAGCTCTGGTTAAGCTGCCGAGCGTGCCTGGATTACCAACGCCCGTACCGCCACCCGTACCGCCGCCCGTACCGCCGCCCGCACCGCCGCCCGCACCGCCGCCCGCACCGCCGCCCGTACCCGCGTGCTTGGCGAGCAGGCGCTTGCCGGCCGAGAAGCGGCCTCCGCCGCTGCCGCCGCCCTCCTCGTAAGTCCCCGCGAAGCCGAAGCTCGAGCGGCCGTCCCACCAGCCGGCGTCGCGCGCGTGGGAACGCAGCTTGGGGTGCTCCAGCGATACGCGCGAGCCGATGCTCAGCCCGTTGGAGATGTTGCGCGTGCCCTCTGTGCCCCGCGCCGCACGCGGAACAAACAAATGAGTTTAACTGCTTGCTTCACGAGTAGGGGTAAGAGTAGAGTTACAGATAAGGATATGGGCAGGGTATAGGCGTGTAGTTAGGGCAGGGGGCGGCAAACCTGTGGCTCCAGAGCCACGTGCGGCTCTTTAAGGGCTGCTTCGTGACGTAATGTTTGTATGAACGTAGTCACGTGCATTGTGGCTCCTAAAATATTGAATTTTGCACAGAATTAAAAAAAAATGGCACTTCTTGGAATTTTGGTTGCCGACCCCTGAGTTGGGATAATTGCCAGGCTCACTGCATGTAAGTTGAACTTCCTTCGCACCGTACGTAGCCAACCGTGCTCATCGTAGGTGCTCTGTGCCACACCTGTGACTTGCTCGGCCGCCCAGTACTCGCCGGCCGTTTCCAGCACCCAGGCCTCGGAGCGGTCGGCGATGAGGAAGCTGTTGTGGTACGTGAAGCTGCTCGTGCTCTCCATGCAGTTCCCGCCCTGGCCATAGCGCGCGAGCAGCGACGTGATCACGTCGAGCGCCTCGCGCGCCGTGCCGCCCCGCTCCAGCGCCAGTCTGGAGTCGCCCGGCACGCGAGCGTCACACAACGACGTAGCCACACCATTGTGCCGTCACGCCACCGTACCGCCACGCCACCGTACCGCAGTCATGTCACCGCCATCACTCAGCAGTCACGCGCCCCATCGTCGTGTGATCGCCCATCCGAGCGTTTTCCAGGTTCCACTCCGAAGCTAAGCTTTCGACGTCGGGCGCAATCGTTTGGTTTGGTCACACGCACACACAATAACCTCATGCAGCATGCGCACTGCACGACAACTACGATTAGCACGGTTGGCTTTGTGCGGTGCCAAAGCAGTTCAACACACGCACTATATAAGACTCGCTCCACAGCACTCGTGCATGTACTACTCCGCACAACACATGCGCGCAGCACACGCGCACAGCACACGAGCACAGCACACGCATAGCACACACACACCGCACACGCGCACAGCACACGCGCACCGCACACGCGCACCGCACACGCGCACAGCACACGCGCACAGCACACGCGCACCGCACACGCGCACCGCACACGCGCACCGCACACGCGCACCGCACACACGCACCGCACTAAGTCCATGCCCAGCAGTGCCTCCTTGTCGTCGATGGGCTCGTTGGTCCACACGGCCTCGTTGCCCACGCACACCCCGCGGTCGTTGGCGCCCATCTCGGCGCCCCACATCCACGCCGGCTTGCTCAGCACCACGGGCAGCGTGCGCTCCGCCTGCTCGATCTCGATGTAGGTGCACTACCGCGACACGGGCACGCACACAACCGCCGCCCTCGTCACAACAGGCCAGCTTGTACGTTTACACTCGGAATGCGTTCCCGACTTTGGGATGTGAAGCATAAGCAACAGGCAACCTCTACAGGGTAGGTGGATGCTACTACTCCGATGTTGCTGTTGCAGGCTGTAGGTTAAAAGGTCAAGGTGCAGCTCTGCACTCGAGGGGCAGCTCTAGAGAGCCCCACTGGAGGGTATTTGGCCAGATGTCTTAAATGTGTAAATACCCACAGTTTACTCCACCATATGCGACCTATCACATGTGCTGCACCCATTCATTCATACTGGCCAGTGGACAGAGGAGGGCGGGGGGGGTTAATTTATTTGGTATAGCCCTGTGAGCCATTCGGCTCTTGAATCGGGTTATTTAAGAAACTTGTTTTAACTTTAACAAACCAGCGGGGTGGGTAGGAGGGGGGGGGGGTCTCTGGATTGTCCAGCGTGCTCACAGTCAGTCACACGGCGGCTGCCCAAGCCGACATCCCAAGCCGACATCCCTCGCTTATTCATGCCCTGGCTTCTGCTCGGGTGGGTGCGGGAGGTCGCGATCTCCGTGCCTGCAGCTTGGTGCCCGGCGGGTGAGCGGCTCCGGGCAGCACCACCACCTCCTGCACCTCGTCGCTCGGCCGGTCAGAGTTCTTGCCGAACACCACGTGGCCGCCTGCCGTCGCTGGCGGCAAAGCCACGAAGGTGTCACATGACCTGGGAGGGCTGCCCGGGCTGCCCGTTCGGGACATCGTCGTGTCTTTGCTGGACGACACAAGAAGACACAAGTGGGATGAGAAAACAGACATTTGCGGGGAGGATACGGACAGAAATGCGTGTAAATCTTACAGCACTTGGTATATACAGCCCCGTATCAATCCACTGCTAGACTATAGCCCACCCCCTCTCCCCATGCCGCGTTGGTTATGGGGGTTGTTTGACCATACTTCATCACGCTGGTCACTGCGGGTCAGGAATTTGGGTGAGCAAGAGACGTGGGAGCGTAGCAAGCGCATCCATCATGCTGCTACACTGCCCTCTGCTGCCCAGACGAGGATGCACACCCTGCAGGCCGCCGCCTGCTTGGCTTGCGACGTCTAAACTTAGCGCGGCTAATTTTACAACCCCGAGCCCATCCGCGGAGACCAATCAGGCCGCCCGTCATACGTCGATCCACTGCTGGATGAAGGCCTAACATCCGCAGCAGCCATTATTGACGAATCCACGTGCAGCACCACCTGCCGATCTCACCGCTCCATCTCCTCGCGGACACGTTACACGCGGCGTGCGCTCTAGAAGACGCGGTGCGTCACGAAGACCCCCCCCCCCCCCCTCTGATCTAGAAGCATTGAGAGCAGACACGATGGGGGGGGGGGCGCTGTTGTTCGCGGGTGCCTCTTGCCGCGGCGTCCGGCCTAGCGTGCTCAGAGGAGGCGGGCGAGGCCCTTGGAGTGCTCGCTCGAGTGGGGGGGGGGGGGGCTCTGGCTCTTGGCGAGGGAGGCGATCGCCAGACGCTGTTGCTGCTGCTATTGCTGTTGCTGCTGCTGCGCTCTGCGGCGTCGAAGGTGGCGCACGCCTGTCAACACGCACGCGGCTGTGCGTGTGTGTGTGTAAAATATATATAAATGTAGCACAGCCTACAGAGCTTGCTCGTCACAGCAGGCGTGAAGATGAGGCTGGTGTGAGTGTAGAGGGCTGCTGTGAGTGTAGAGGGTTGTGTGATTGTAGCGAGGATTGTTGTTATCGCTGTGAGCGAGCGCACGCGGTGGGTTGGGGGGGGGTACCTGGAGACGGCGCGTCACGTGACCCCGCCCCCTCCCCCCTAACCCCCCTTTAAAAATAAATGAAACGAAACATTTTTTTGTCACACAACAACAAAAATTATTCACCTCGCCGCATTATGTTTAAGTTAAGCGCGTGACGGTCACTGGCTGGGTTAGAATTAAAAAAAAAATGTTTTTATTTAATCGTAAAATAAAAACGCGTGGAGGTGACGGACGTGACGTCATCGTCTCGCGCGAAGGGTCAAAGTTGAAGGCTTCTCTCGCTTGTGGTCGCGATGTTTTGTTGATTTTTTTTGTAGTTTCTCGTTTGTTTTTATCTCTCTCGTTCTCTCTCTCCTCGGGCTAAATTACGTTTTCGCCATGGGGAAGTCGTTCGCTAACTTCATGTGTAAAAAGGATTTCCATCCTGCGTCGAAGGAAAACATCAAACGGGTGAGATGGAGAGGCGCGTCCTAGCGGCTAGGACAGGCCTGTGTTGGACCAGGCCTCGCCGCGCCAGACTAGTTAAATATAACGACAACGATTGTAATTATTGTAATTACATAAAAAAACGCGGTTATACAACTGGGTATGTCTTATCAGGTCAATGTTTTCTTCACCTCCGTGTGGTGAAACGACGAGTCTATCCCGAGCTCTGGCATAGCAGTGCGACCCTTCGATGTTTGAGAAAAGGCCCGTGGAAGTGGACACCACAGAGCTACGATTGGTCTTCAAATGACTCGGTGGTGCACACGCAGGAGAGGGCAGCACTTTCCCCACCCTCCCCGTTACAGAGAGTAATGTTCATCGCATGACAACCAGATACTTTAACTCCCGAAGAGCTGAAATTCAGCCAAATGTAATGGCATGGTTTATTTGTGGAGTGATTGGTGACTGGACTGAGACAGTGAACTCACTACACTTGAGACCACGGTTTAATAACAGGCAGCTGCGTGGATTCAAACTCAATATCTGAGGTTTGCCAGTATCCTATATGTACCCAGGGTGCTTCAATAATTTTTTGTAACACTTATTATGAGACTATAATTTTTAATGGAAAAAAGAACGGAAATACACTGTAACATGATAACAAATGTATGTTAATAGCTTCAAAAAGTCAAAGAGTCTATACTTCTTCGCCATCGTTGTCAACACGTGCCTGGAATCTTCTCCAGGTGGTTCTCCAGAGCCCAGAGGCATTATTATTGCAAATTCTGAGAAGTGTTAAAACACATTTTAAGTACCCTGTTTAGTTTATATCCGGTAAAATCCGAATAGGGAAAAGGCCAGATCCAGATTAAAACCAGGTATCGGTTTACCTAATTTATTGAGATATACAAAGGGGATTTGAAAAAGAGTTGTGTGTTGTGGGTGTGAATCCGCTGTTAGCATAATGTATGAAAGGCTGGACCAGCGATTGATCGTTTGGTTTGTTTGTAGGTATGGATGGCAGAGCAAAAGGTCGCGTTCGAGAAGAAGAAACAAGACGAGCTGCTTTCGCAATACACCAAAGAACAGGAGATTTATAATAACCGGTGAATATTCCACCACTTCTAACATGTAGCAGCTGTTACACCCTCAATACATTATTAAATTAATATACTTCATGTAATGTTCACTTGTTCACGTTGTTTATTTAGAGTTCATCTGTAGTTATTTTATTTTGGAGAATATTCTTTGCGAAGCAGATTCAAAGTGACTTTTAGCCTCAGGATAATTGAAGAGTATTTTCCATGAGTGTACAAACTATGCAGCAGGGGTGGGTGGATAAACTCCAATGTACTCTTAAATACATATAAATGATAATTTCTCAAATGTTCTATTTTTCCCAGTTTGTCTTACATTTGAGTTCACAATGTCACGCCATGAGACAAAATTATGGAATGCATGGAGACACAAACCAGACCTGGCGTCAGTTGCAATAGTAATTGTGTATATCGTAATGAATTAATTAACATTTATCATAATTTTAGTTCATCATATGTAACCGCAGGTCTGAGAAGGTATTTTCTTCTTCACAAATAAAACTGAACAAACAAATGAACACTTTCAGCAGGAGAGTCCACTGCAGGGTTGTGATGATGGTTTCCTGGGTTTTGCAGGTTACTCATGGGAGATGAACGTGTGAAGAATGGACTAAACTTCATGTATGAGGCGCCACCAGGCACCTACAAAGGTAAGAAATGGTACTCCCTTGTGTTAACCCCCCCCCCCCCCCCCCCCCCCCCCAGTTTATAGGAAGACAAAACCCAACAAGTTAAATAGATTCTAAGATCCTATCTTAGAAGTTTACCCGTAGGCTGTGTCCTAGGAATGTTGGCAAACATTTGAGGCTTCAGTCGAAATAATAATAAATGTGAGAAGCCATACGTTTATTATAAAAAAAGCTTTTGCATACAGTAATTCATTTTTTCTGTCCACAAATAACTCGATACCCATCTAATATGGTATTGATGAGTGAAATATCTAATCTCAGCCCATGGCAAAGTTAATTTAAGCAATGCACCTCAAAATGTTCCTGGCACGGAAGAATCCAGCTTAAGGATCGAGAGACTCCAAAATGTTAACATTCAGTTGTTGCAAATTCAGTTATATTACAAAGTATATTAAAGATTAAAAAAGGCTTTTTGTCACGGAGTGGAAAAGATGTCTAGTTTTGGCTGAATGCCCTTGTTCACTTGCTCTGTTTATTATTAAGGAGCATCTTTTGTGTTTATGTATTCAGCTAAACTAAGTTGTCAAGCTTGTTTATTGTTCGCATTTGTATAACGCGATCCTGAAAGCCCTTGCGATTCATAAATAATAAACCACTACACGTATAAATCAACATAGCGAAATTATTATTTTATGAACTGCGGGTGCACAGATGCATCTTACTTTAAGCAATGTTTTGGTGCAATAAAAATTGCACGATATGACATTTCGCCATAAATATATGTCAGTTTGGTATTTGGTTGCTTTAAATTACAAGGACGTTCAACATTATTATAATTACACATTTTCCAAGGTGAGTTACATCATGCAAAATTGGCAGAGTTGACCAGAGATAATAAACAAATATGTTTTTATGATTCCCCCATGCTAGGTCTTGCCTTGGTGGTTTTTTGTAATTAGCTTGAATTTTGCAAAGCCTTTATTTGCAATATGTATTTTTCTATACAACAAACTAACATGTGTTTTACACTTCTGTCTGTTCTGACATATCCCTGCAGAAGAGGAAGTAAGTGCTATTTTCAAGCCTTCATTCACTTTTTTTATATGATGTTGTGTGGTTACATGTTGCTAAGTGTACTTCAACTACGCTCCAAATACCCTTGTTTATGAATCGGACAGCAAAACTTCCAAGTTATTGAATTTAACCCACAGTTCCACGGAAATATTTTTTCCAACTTAATTATTCTGCATTGAGCTCCTGGCACTGGAGCAGGTGGGATTGTTTTTTTGTCATTGTATATGCTATTGACACGGACAACTAAACGTTAATTTAAATGACTACATTATACCATATTTAATGACGTAAATACTTTTGTTTTCCCTGTGCATGACCTAATGGTTCACATTTGTGTTTTCTGAACAGAAGGAGACAGGAGGAGAAAAGGAGTACAAGTTTGAGTGGCAGAAGGGGGCTCCGAGAGAAAAGTAAGCTTCCAGATGCTCAGTGAAAGTGTGCGATCTTTACGCAAATTGCATCCTGCATTCTGGTGTGGTGGCCTTTGGTGACCAGCTGTGTTTCTGTCGCAGGTACGCAAAGGACGATGACAATATTCGCGACCAGCCTTTCGGAATTCAGGTGATGGTTAACTAATGCACACACACAGACAAAGATTCCCATGTAGCCCACAGAGATTGATGGGGCAAGTATTGTTAGGGAGCAGCAAGGAAGCCTGGTTTGGTGCATGAAGGGGGTGGTGTGGCTTAGACCGAGCTCGGCCATCTTTTTCTCCCCAGTTCTGATGTTTTCACACCATCCCAAGTTACTCATTTAAGGCTTTGTCAATGTAGGGGAGGCTTAAGACTAGTTTCAGTTATAATTTGCCACTGATGGTAGCCGTGAAGAGGAATCAAACCCAGGTCGCTGGGTTTACAGTGATGTGCGCTAATTGCTACGAGCACACACGGGAAAATTCTCATTTCTTTATCTCCATCGGTTGTGATGGAGCCAGCACAGCCCCCAATGGCAGTGGCAGGGGTTGCAGAGAGCAGTGCACCGCAGACACTGAACAGGGCTTAATTTCTCACTGAACAATTTCTGCATCATTTGCAGAGGGGAGTAGTTGGCACATAACTATTAACCACAGTGATAACAAGAAATATATATTCGTGTGCCAGCCACTGACCCAGACAAACCCGGCTGAACTTAAGCCCTGGCGCTAACGATGACCATGTCATTGTGGATGCGGTGCGCAGGTGCGGAACGTTCGCTGCATCAAGTGCCACAAGTGGGGCCACGTGAATACGGACCGCGAGTGCCCTCTCTACGGCCTCTCCGGCATCAATGCCACATCCGCAACTACTGATGAGCCAGGTGCGCACGAGTTTCCCTTTCTAGGTCACTCCACGTCAATACGGCACCGGTAATCAAACCAGCATGGCACTGATTGGCATATTTTAGTGATAACGAAGTGAAGGGCAATTTCGACAAAAGCTAGTCTCGTGGTGGAGACCTGTGCAGAAAAGGCAATAAAATGCACGGTAAAATAGTATTGGTCTGTGCAAGAAGACCAAAATAAGAGCATATTTAGACGAATTCAGTGCAGATAACAAAATGTGAAAACCATGCAGTAATCTAATGTGCAAGACGAACAATAACATGAACAAATGAATTATGGGGCATAAGCAAGTTAGAGATGTAATATTGACTTTTAAAGGAAAGTAAGTGGGCTTTGGCAAAAGCACAGCATGAAAAGGGATGATGGATGGCGATTGAGACGAACGATGGACAGACAGCCAGCGGATGTGACACTCCTGAGAAGCTGTCCACTGTGGAGACAGCGTTGAGATCAGCTCGTGTGCTTTAGCTTGATGAATTGTTGCATTGCGTGACCATGACAGCTGGCAACGGCTCGGGGAGGCTTTCATGCGGTAGTATACAGATTGATGGCTGATGATAATGAATGTGCAAGACGTTGGCGTGATACCAGTGAGTAGTACAGCACAGCACAACACCATTGCATCACTGTGCTATGCCACAAACATTTAATACAGCTGAATGAATTCCGAACAATTGCCTCCGTGAGTGTAGTTTGATTTTCTATATTAGAAGCAGAAAGCCTCATGATGGAGGCACACCGGCGTACTCCCCCATATAATGAGCCGGGCAAATTTGCTGCTTGCCCCGTGGGCATCGCGTGACGTCACGTCGGTTTGTGTCGCCCACAGAGCCGGCCATGCACCCATCTGACCTCATGGTGGAGATGAGGAGCAGCGGATTTGCGCTCAAGCAGTGTGTGCTGGGCAGGAAGGGTGACGCGGCAGACCCCTCACAGGTAACGCCAGCACACGAGAAACCAACATCCCCCATGCAGAACTCTTGTAGAGGCTTGTTCGCAAGCCTCTACAAATGCTTACACGGTGCATAAGAGGGTTGGGCTGGCCAGTAACAATCTTTTGTCTCCCCATTGCCAATATTTACACTGCACAATCATCGCTGAGTTGACTTAGGGGAGGCCCAGGACTGGTTCAAATAATGGCTGGGAATGGTAATCTGGTCACAGGGTTTGTGTGCAGTACACTAACCATACAGTATGTTATTGCGGCATATACACGCACAGATAATTCACCACATTGATGGCAAGTGCTGTTAGTGAGTGCCTATTCAGGGTGATACGATACACGAGGGGGTTAGGGGGCCAGAATCTCGCACTTTGGGGAAACTGTCTCCCCGGGGATGATGCTGACCACACCACTACATGAGGTTTTCATTTTAAGCCAAATCAGCCTTGCCCAGGCTTAGTTCAGGTTGCAGTTGTCACTGATATGTTCACTTCACCTCACACACATCTCTAAACATGCATTACCTCATCCTTGTTTTTAGTGCAGTCTTCCTGTTTTAGGTGCACTATGCTTGTGTAGATTGTCAATTGTATTGTTTTTTGTTCATTACGCTATTTTTTCCAGCACCTCTTAACGCATTCTATTCCGTTGTTGTCTGTTCTTCTGTCTGGTTCATTTTCATGATGTCGTTCTGTACTGATGCACCATGGATCTCTTTTGCACCTTAGCTGGCTAACTGGCTCAATGGGACTTTCCCCGTAGCAAATTAACGTCGGTTGAAATTGGTCGTGATCTGGGAGCGAACCCGGCTCGCCAGGAACCAACGGCACCACTTTCCACACGCAAAACGCGTTTTGTTGTTTGCAGCAATTGATCGAAAGTGAGGAGGATGAAGACCCAGAAGTGGAGTTTTTGAAGTCGCTGACGACGAAGCAGAAACGCAAGCTGCTGAGGTGAGTGTCACGATCGCCACCCTCCTCACCCAGCAACACCGTCAACGGCGACGCCGCCTGTCTGTTCGTCTGCGATTGTGATGTTTGTTTTTTATTTATGATGTGTTTCACTACTAACGTCGTTCATTCTGGTTGATAGGCACGTAACGTTACAACAATGCATTATAACTGATTATGTCACGCGTGATATGTTAAATGGCGCATGCATGTTGATTATTTTGGATTTTTATACAATACGTTGAATGCCATTTGTTTTGTTTTAACGCTGCACCTACCAAATTGCTACAAAGAATTGATTCTTGAAATAAATGGTCGCCGCGACAATTGAATGGCGAGTGGGGATAATCGCCACGTGCCTTGCGGTGTAGCGCAAGTGCCGCTTGAGGCGTCACCTTGTTTACGTGCGGCTTCTGTCCCTGCCTTTTGCAGGAAACTCGACCGCCTTGAAAAGAAAACCAAAAAGGACAAGAAGAGGAGGAAGAACAAACAGAAGAAGAAGAGCAAGGGGAAGAAGAATAAACGCAGAGAAGAGTCGAGCTCTGACGACACCGAGAGCTCAGACTCCCAGTCCGACACCAAAAAGAAGAGGTGCAAGCATCAGAAACATAAGAAGAGCAAGTTGCCATCCAACGACGGCAGCAGCACCTCGTCGTCGTCGTCGTCATCTTCAAGCTCCGGGTCGGACAGCGACGCGGAAGAGGAGAGCGCTTGCAAGAAGCGGAAGGGAGAAGCGGAGTCACGAAGCGCGGAACCACCGCAAAGCGCCGACGGCAGGCGGAGCGCCGGCGCGATGGAGCAGCCTGCTGGGTCGTCGCGGCACGAGCAGGGAGGCGCGAGCGGCAGTCGCGGGCCGAGGTTCCAGGAGCCTGCGGTGGGTGGCGGAAAATGTGGGGAAGGAGCAGGAAGCCATCGTAGGATTGAAGATGGGCGCAGGCACGGAGGTGGTGGTGGTGGTGAGGAGAAAGAGGGGAGACACGTGGGCGAGGGGAGAGACAGGGGAGACCAGAGGGACAGTCAACGCAGGGGTGAGGAGAGATGGGGGAGAAGCAGGGGTGAGGATAGAGACAATAACAAAGGTGGGGATAGAGAGAGTAAATACAGGGGTGAGGAGAGATGGGGGAGAGGCATGGGTGAGGAGAGAGAGGATAAACACAGGGGTGAGGATAGAGAGAGTAAATACAGGGGTGAGGATAGAGAGCGGAGAGACAGGGGTGAGGAGAGATGGGGGAGAGGCATGGGTGAGGATAGAGAGGATAAACACAGGGGTGAGGATAGAGAGGGGAGAGACAGGGGTGAGCAGAGAGAGCACAGAGACAGGGGTGAGCATAGAGAGGGGAGACACAGGGGTGAGCATAGAGTGAATAAAAACAGAGGTGAGGATCGAGAGGATAAACACAGGAGTGAGTATAAAGAGGGGAGAGATGGGAGAGAGCGGAGACACAGGGGTGAGGAGAGAGAGGTGAGAGACAAGGGAGAGCAGAGAGAGAATAACCACAAAGGTGATGTTGGAGAGCGGAAAAGAAGCAGAGAGTGAGAGGAGCAGGCATGGTGCGGAGTATCGGGGGCGACAGCGGAGACAGCGGGGAGAGGGGTGCGGAGAAGCGGGCGATGTCGAGCCTCGGGGCGACTCGGCTGCGAGCAAGGATAGGTTTTGAGAGAGGAGGCCTTGTGTACGTCTGTACGTTGAACTTCTTTCGCACCGTACTTAACCAACCGTGCTAATCGGAGGTGCGGGGGAAGGACAACAAACTAAACTGGTGGCGGCAAACACGAGCTGCAGGAGTCGTGATAAGGCGGGAGCCAACAACAGCAATAAAATAATTGCCGGATTAACATCCTTGGCGTTTGTCTAATTAGTGACCTCTGTACCGCGTGGGTTGCCACGGTTGTGCTCGGAATATTTTTCATGTCCTGCTGGGTCATACCAGCTTGTAGTTTGGCATTATGGCCGCCGTCTTGCTCCGTGTCCTGGAAACTGCTTCAGGTCACACCCTCCTGAGAGCTTTTTCTTGTCACAGAGGGTTTTCTCAAGCGATTCCTCTCAATGTGTTCTTTCACAGCATCGGCTCCACAAATGTGACCCGTCTTCACGCGCATTAGATTGACAGGCGAGATTGAGCATATGAAGCTGGGTTGTTGAGTAAGAAGGCAACAGTCAAGTCCTGGCCAGACTTAAGAATATTTTGGTTATTTGCTGTCAATCTCCTTGTATGATCCGTAGAGTGAATGGATTGTGCCCTTTCCTGCAATGTACTCTGTGTTGGTGCTTATAGGTTTGTATTCGTTTGTGTTGTGAGGACATGGGGAATGGTACCCCGTAGGAACATGCGGATTATACAAAGTAGTGTAAAGTCTTGAGTTGGATGTAAGGAAGGTCATACATTATATGATGACTTTACTGACAGCTCTGTTTATCCTAACACAACTAGGGTTTTCGGTGTCTTCGTTTTAATTTCTATTAAAGTTGTACAGAAAGTTCATATTTGTACAGATTTAGTGAGTAATCTTTGTGTAAATGTACAACATTTTTGGGGAATTCATACCTCTAGTAGAACGTGAATTAAAATTGAACCTCTGCATATTCTTTGGGTCTTTCGGTAAAGTCGTGTAGATATGTTCAAAGAAAATAACAATAAAAAAATTCCACATTATTTTAATTGAACCTATCTACGTGACTTTACCGAAAGACCCAAAGAATATGAATTTCTGCAGCCACGAAAGCTTTAAGTCTAAGATTTGTACCTCTAACTAAAACGTGGAGTTGTCAATGGTCGTAGCGTGTAGTACAGTAGTTTGTGGTCGTGGCAATATCTAAAGCACTATCTTTGTAAATAAAAACCTGCCCCCAGAAGTCGACGAACGGTATACATTGATGTTGCGTACGTTTTCATGTTCTTGAATATCGCAATGGACCTCCATTGGTCCATTCCAGGTGTTTTTCAGCCTTGTTCCCGTGGGCCCTATGTGATCAGTCTTTATATATCGTTCTCTCGGGGTGCTCCAGGTTCTACAAGTACAGCCCTCTGTCAATCCACTGCTGGATGAAGGCTTCCCTATGCCGTGCAGGTCATGGGGGGCAGTGGGGGGGTTGACTATCGGTCATTGTGCTGGTCCGTGCCGGCTGGTGCAGGCGGGGAGCGTAGAAGTACAGCCTGTACCACCTGTTGTGCATGGTGGTCGCCGATTCAAACCACTGCAATCTCGTTACCGTTTCCGCTTAGCTTCCAAATATCTGAAGAGACGGGGGGTGCATTCTGTCTCGTGTGCTCAGACTGGGTTAATCGCACTCCAAAATGCAACTTAAAAACCGATATTTATCAAACAACATAACTTTGCTGGAAACGTATACACTGCACGTTTTTTAGGCCTACCAACTCTTGATAGCCAAAAAGCCCTGGACATTTCATGGGAACAATAATCACAAAAGTAGAAGAGGGGGGGGGGAAGTGCTTGTGTACGAATTGTCTTGCGTGGTATTATGCACTTTATTAAAACAAAACGTGTCTGTTAATCTCTCAAGAAAGCTTACCGGTTTCCAATGGCAGCTATTTTAAAAAGAGTGCGAACCTGGGAAAACAAGGACATCGTATCTTACAATCCCCTTGAGATGCTTGAAACAACGCTGCGTCTCTGTGCAACTGACACACGAGTTGTATCTGCAGGGGGACTGCGGGTTCGAAAGGACGAATCCACGTCGCAGAGTACGTTCTGACCAAACAGGTTCATACGTTTGCCTTCTCTGCACGAGATGCAGTCATTCAAATCGCCTCTTGTTGCCCACGTCCAGGTAAATATCAGTGATCGATGGGAAAGTAAATCGTGTGTTTTGCTACCTCCGGCATTTGCAGTCCAGCTGTAGCTTGGAGCGTAGCGAGTTTGGGGTCTGTCACCACGGATCGACACGAGCAGTGAAGTTTGTGGACTCTGAAACAAGCGTTTTACAACAGCGCAATTACACCACCAATGGCGAAAGTCGCTGCTTGGCAGCGTCCTACTTTTGCAAGACTCGGGCGCCCTTTGAAGATGCGGCGATGCAGGTAATCTTAAACATTTTGTAACTCAAGCGGGAGAGTTGTGCGCATGCAATTTGATGTGTGGCGATGATGCAATGTGTGTTCTGAACGAGAGTCGTGTTTCGGGCTGAACCCGCCTTGGGGAGACCCAGATCACGTTGCCTCTTACGTTGAACATCATGACTAGGTAGGTGGTCTATGTGGCCGCTAAGGCAATATGAAATGAAGTGTTTGGACCGACACCTCGCTCTCATTCGTTCGTGTCTCAATCCGCTTGTCCTGGTGAGGGTCGCGGCGGCAGCGTGTTGAGTAGTGGCGGTCCAGAACCTCCTCCCTGGCCACAGACTCCAGCAATACTACACTACTACACTACACTATATACTACTATACACTACTACACTACACTGTATACTACTATACACTACAGCAGCGTGTTGAGTAGTGGCGGTCCAGAACCTCCCTCTCCCTGGCCACAGACTCCAGCAATACTACACTACTACACTACACTATATACTACTATACACTAATATACACTATACACTACAGCAGCGTGTTGAGTAGTGGCGGTCCACACCTCCCTCTCCCTGGCCACAGACTCCAGCAATACTACACTATACACTATTGTAGACTATAGACTACACTATACACTACTATATACTACTATACACTAATATACACTACTCTATATACTACTATACACTACACTATACACTACTGTAGACTATACACAACAAAACTACACTATACACTACACTATCGACTATACACTACTATACAAGACTACACTGTACATTACACTATACACTACGATAGACTATACACTACTATAGACTATACACTACTGCACTATACAATACACTACACACTACACGACTAAACTATACACTACACTATAGACTACTATACACTACGCTATAGTCTATACACTGCTATACACTACACTATACACTACTATACACTACACTATACACTACTATACACGACTAAACTATCCACTACATTATACACTACACTATACACTACACTATACACGACTATACACTACACTATACACTACTATACACAGACTCTAACTTGTTCCTGGGGAATGTCCAGGTGTTCCCAGTCCCGCCAGCAGCAGCGTGTCCTGGGCTGGCCCCGGGCTCTCGCTCAAATTGTTTTACATTTGCCCGAAACGTCGATTGTATATTTGTTTTTATTCTCAGGCAGTGTTGTTGACGAGTGTTTTTAATTTAACTTGGGGCGCTATTCTGTTCTAGCGCGCTAGGGGGCGACACGTGCCCTGTACGTTGTGTTTACAGCTCAATACTTAACAGAAGAACTCCATTGTGCGTCTCCACATCCACATTCAATGTTCGGTCCAGCAGCCTCTTGGATGTCCAGACCAGTGTCATCAAGCAGCATTTGTTTAAGCAAGCGAACTCTGGACTATTGGGGGGGACACCCCCCCCCCCCCCAATATTCAAATATGCTCAAAATATCCACCCCCAATATATTGCTATCAAAAATATTTTAAAATTTTCATTGCTATGTTATGTAAATATAAACAACAATTTGCTAAACCTTGGCCACAATATCTGGACTTGTCTTCATTTCTGTTCATATGATTGTGGTTATGGTTGTACTTTATTAATTCATTATCGCTGCCATTACATACAATGACACAATAAAATGTAAAAAAGAAAAACAGCGCAATGTAATACAATACACTATTAGACATTATTGTAAACATGTAATAAAAGTCCATCCCATGTGTTAGTGAATTTTTTAATATTTTAGGCAGGAATTAGTTTTCAAATAAAAAATGTTCTGGGGGGGGGGGGGGACCCCAGACTCCCTGGAAGATTTTCCCGCCCCCCATTTTGACTCCATGGCTACGGCCTTGAATTTTATATATATGTGCATGCGACCCCGTTCAGAGTTGTGGTACTACAGATTTTAAAATCGACTCGGCTTTCCCACCATTATCTCGTCATCATCATCGGTCATGATCTATCCACCGCTGGAGGAAGTCCTTCCCAAGCCGTCGCCATCCCCCACGGGCCTGAGATAACAACCATCCAACTTCGCCTCCTGCAACTTAACCAACTCGCGTTGCAGCCAACACGCACACAGGCCCCGCGCTCTCCCGGCAGTGCGAGCTGATGCTCATGGGATTTTATCATCATCTCGAGCCCGCGGTGAGTTGATAAAGACAAGTATTTTGACTCCAATGCCTGAACTCATTGTGTTCAGTGTTCAGTGTTCTCCACGCGCATCTCTGATTAGCGCGGTGGGCTACGTACGGTGCGAAAGAAGTTCGACATTCACGCAAACTTAACATCAAAGAGAGGCGAGTGCGGTTGTCATTTCCGTTCGCTGTCATAAGACCAAATCACTGTTTGAGCAGTGGCAAACCGATATGTGGAGGCAGGTCTGAGCCCCCACCATAAGGTGTTGTTGATGCGTTGTCGTCTCTAAAGTTCAACAACAGAGGCAAAGTTGGGCCAGACATTGTCCACAATATAATGGCCACTCCAACCAGCGGTCTGAACCTTAATAGGCGCTCGCTAACTCCACTTGCCCCGACACGTCTCGGGTTTTTTTTGTTGTGTTCGATATTGACACGTGCAGGGAGTGAGTGAGTGTGAGTTTAGTTTGTATGGGACATGAATTAGGTAATGATGGAGACACGAGTTGAATTCCGTTTGCAAAGAGACCTGTGTGCGCGCGTTTGTGTGTTTGATTGTGCGCTGCGGGTGTAATGCGTGCCGGCCTTCAAAGGTACTACTCGCTAACAGCACTTGCCCCAACAGTCTGTGAAGGCTACACAGGGCGTCTTCGTCTTTGTTCATGTGTGCGAGTGTCTGCGTGAGCGGGGAGCGGTGGCGCAGTGGTTAGCGCACTGCGCCGTGAACCCGGCGACCCGAGTTCCATTCCCGCTCACCCGTCAATGTCGGTGACGATTATCTGAACCAGCCTTGGGCTTCCCCGAGATAAACTCGGCCTCAAATGAGGACCTGGTATGGTGTGTAAACAGCGCCACTGGGGAGACAAAGGCGATCGGGCGTGGTGCTGGCCACCCTCTCGTGTGCCTTGCAGTCCTTCATAGGAGCTCGCTTGCCCCAACAGTCTGTTTAGGCTATACGGGGGATCTTTGTATTTGTCTATGTACTTGTGTATGTATGTATGTACGTGTGTTTATGTAAGTGTGTGTCTGTATGTAAGTGTGTATGTCTGTATGTATGTACGTACGTGTGTCTGTCTATTTACGTACGTGTGTCTGTCTATTTACGTACGTGTGTCTGTATGTAAATGTGTCTCTGCCTGTATGCAAGTGTGTCTGTATGTCTGTATGTATGTACGTGTGTCTGTATGTAAGTATGTACGTCTGTGTCTCTGTATGTAAGTGTGTCTGTATGTACGTGTGTCTGTATGTAAATGTGTCTCTGCCTGTATGCAAGTGTGTCTGTATGTCTGTATGTAAGTGTGTCTGTATGTAAATATCTACGTCTGTGTGTCTGTATGTAAGTGTGTCTGTATGTAAGTGTGTCTGTATGTAAATGTGTCTCTGCCTGTATGCAAGTGTGTCTGTATGTCTGTATGTAAGTGTGTCTGTATGTAAGTATGTCCGTCTGTGTGTCTGTATGTAAGTGTGTCTGTATGTACGTGTGTCTATGTAAATGTGTCTCTGCTTGTATGCAAGTGTGTCTGTATGTCTGTATGTAAGTGTGTCTGTATGTAAGTATCTACGTCTGTGTGTCTGTATGTAAGTGTGTCTGTATGTAAGTGTGTCTGTATGTAAGTGTGTCTGTATGTCTGTATGTAAGTGTGTCTGTATGTAAGTGTGTCTGTATGT